TGTATTTTTAGTAGAGATGGGGTCTCACCATGTTGGCCAGGATGGTCTCGATCTCCTGACCTCATGATCCACCCACCTTGGCCTCCCAAAGTGCTGGGATTATAGGCATGAACCACCGTGCCTGGCCAAGACTCCTCCTATATAGTGTAGACCCATTAGCGGTGAGGTCAGTAGGGGTCGGTGAGAAGAGCTAAGGAGGGAAACCAAAGACAAAGCCTGGGCCACCTCCCCAGATCAGACTGGTTTTCCTGTCCAGGGTCCAGCTTCCTCTTTTGTCCTCATCTCATATGGGGGAAGGGTATCTCTCCAGGAGCTAGAGGCCAGAGGAGGAGCTTCTCGGCTAGGGCACTGCCAGAGTGGCTGGTTGTTGAGTAATGTCAGTGCTAAATCATGAATGCACCAGGATAAGCTAGGCATGAGGGCCTGGGAACTTGGAAGCAAAAAAGGCCCAAATGTAAGTCAACCCAACCCCTTTAGCCCATTTCCTGAAGGAATAAACTGTGGTAGAGTTGTCCTGAATGAGGTCAAAGGTTGGTGCATTCTCAGGCCAGAGTTAGAATCCTCACCTTCTCGAACTTGTTTAAAGATGGAGGTTAGAAGACCTGGATCCTTGTCCTAGATTTGCTACCAACTCTGTATAATCCTGGTCAGCTTGGTTTCTCCTGGCTCTATTTCAGCATTAAGGAGTTGCGTATCAGTACCTCCAAAAGACAATGAACATAATGGCTCTGACTCTTCCTCCCCCTAGAGGTTCCTCATAGCAGTGCCCCTCACCCTGGCCCTCGTGTCTTACCAGCCTCAATTCGACAGGCCTTGGTAGTCTCTATGTATCTGTCCAGGGATAGAACTGTGGCTCTTTCCCCAAGCAAAAGGATTCTTAGAGGTTGAGAGATAAGAAGTCAGACAGTGTTGGGGATTTTGCTGGGGGCAGTAAGATAGGGGAGTACCCTGTCTCCTGCTCCAGCTCTGCCTCACTGACAGTGGAAAATAGATGCCGGAGTTTCCTCCCTGATGTTATTTTCCCTTGTGGAAACCCCCTTAGGCCTTGGGCGGGGCCAGAGACTGGGCAGCTCTGTGTCTCTCTGGGTATTTTCAGGTGGGGGTGGCAGGATTGGGAGGATGGCACTTCTGTACAACTTCATGTGAAATTTGCAAAGGCAAAGGAAATGCCACTTCACAGGCCTTTGGTGGGGCCCAGGGACTGCTGAGCTGCTGCTAGGCGTGGAGGAGGAAGCCAGTGTGCAGCCTTCCTCTGTGCTGCGTGGTGGGGGAGGGGGCAGCTTCCTTGGCTCCCCCAGCCAGAGCTGTCCTGGTCCTGAGGCTCACCTTTTATGGAACACTTGGGGTGCTGGGACAGCGAGGGAAGAAGGTTGGGAACTAGAACTTAGTGAAAGGGTCCTAGACGTCCCAGCCTTCCCAGCTACCACTTTCTCATTTCCTAGTGGGTGGCATCAACTCTCCTCTTTCCCTATCTGCTGCAGTGTAGGATCCTCTCCAGGGGCTGAAGGATTGAAGGATGGAGAATATTAAGAGGTGGAGAGTCTTTCAGCATGGAGATATATATATATATATGTTTTTTTTTGTTTTTTTTTTTTTAGACAGAGTCTCACTCTGTTGCCCAGGCTGGAATGCAATGGCGTGATCTCTGCTCACTGCAACCTTTGCCTCCCAGGCCCAAGCGATTCTTTTGCCTCAGCCTCCCGAATAGCTGGGATTACAGGCGCCCACCACCACACCTGGTTAATTTTTGTATTTTTAGTAGAGACAGGGTTTCACTATGTTGACCAGGCTGTTTTGAACTCCTGATCTCAAGTGGTCCTCCCGCCTCGGCCTCCCAAAGTGCTAGGATTACAGGCATTAGCCACCGTGCCTGGTGGTTTTTTTTTTTTAAGGTTGGTAACTGGACTCTCTTGGGTTCTTCCGT